TGGATGAGCATACAGAAAGTTACCAGATTATTTTTCAAAAACCTGCAAATCAACGGCGGCCACGAAACACCAGAATACCGATTTACATCAAAGGAAACTGAACAAATTCCTGTAACTCCCACGAAGCCGAAACTCTTACCGAGACATTTCTTTGAACTACGAGAGAGATTCACATTCTTCTCGATTAAACAAGTGCTGCCAGGATACGAGCTAGGTCGTCATCATACCGCCAAGGGCGAATCATCCGATGGTCAGAAAGGGGAATACCGTTTCGAAGCCAATCGCATCAACAGCTTTAGGAATTGGCCTCCAGCATCTCCAGCCTCGTCGCTCAAACTTGCGCGAGCTGGTTTATATTATTCTGGAAAGGGTGATGAAGTAGTCTGCTTCAGTTGCGGAGGACATTTAAAACAGTGGCAAAAAGGCAACGATCCACAGGACAAACATCGCCGAAGCTTCCCAAGTTGCCGTCAAGCCAATGGCGATGATCCCAGGAATGTGCCGCTGTATGAAAGGAGCTTCGACGAAACTTTGGCAGACGGTATGACGGATCTATTTCCAAATCTCGCACGGGAGCAGAGGTCACGCGAGAGTACCGGCAGCAGCTCATCCTCGTATTACGGAAGGTTGGCATCTGCTTTGGAAGCCTCTGAGTTTGGTTCGCAAGTACGTACCAAGTATGATTAAGTAAAATCTCCGACTGATAAAATAATAGCTAAAAGTATTGCCGTAAAATAAAAAAAAACTGCACGAAATGAAAAGATGGTTTGGTTAGATATGTGCAAAGAGTTTTGGTGAAAACATTTTAAGATTTTAGATTATTTGATATAATATGATTCATTGAAATTAAAGACAAGTTTTCACCATTTCATAATAAACCATATAGAGTCCGTCCAGTAACTTACCTTTATTTTATTTTTTTCTTTTAAATATTATTCAATTTCGTTATCTGCCTTAAGAGTCCTACAGGCCGTGCTGCCAGACCATATGACGTGGAGCCAAGGGAAATAAAAGCCAGAATGGACACGGAATTGGTACAGCTGGTTCTGGGACTTGGTTTCGAACGTCTGAGCGTTCAAAATGCCGTCGAACAGCGGTTAAGGACCACAGGCGACGATTTCCACAGCGCAGAGAGTTTGGTCGAGGCTGTTCTTAATATCACAGAAAGCATACGACAGAGGGTGTCCCAACCGGAAGTGCCTGTTACGCCACCCCCACGTGATTTGCCACGTGAGCAGTCACAGATGCCAAATGCAAGTCCTGAAGTCAAAGCCAGCGACCGTACTTGTATGGACAAGTTCAATTATTTTATCGTTAGCTTGTGTCTTTCAGAATAGTATGATTTAAGCACAGTACCTTATTCATTATTTTATAAAGTGTCAAGTTTGATGCGAAGTAGACATTATCATTATTTTCACCAAAACATGTATTTTATTGTTTAAATAATTCAGGTGAACCTAGTGGGAAAAAGGCTATGTCTCCGTCGTCGGTTCCTCTTGATCCAGATGAAGGTCAGTTAACATTTCACATTGTTTGTATTTATTTATATATTCATTTATTTATTTATTTTGTTTATTTGTTAATTATGGTCGGCATTTTTTATACTACCTTATCTTTTAGTATTTCAGTGTGACTGCTGATCTCGTCATTGGTAAGGTGATTTTCACAAAGCCTTTTACGAAAGCTCTGCGTTTATAATTAATTTTTCTATTCGAAATGTATAGAAGAAAAGGGAAAATTCACTGAATTAATTGACTACTTCACCAATTAATATCGCTTCCTTTTTTGATAGCTTCTAAAATTCTGAAAGAAGAAAACCTTCGCCTGAAAGAGCAGAGAAGGTGTAAGATTTGCATGGACGAGGAGGCTAATATTGTATTTCTGCCGTGCGGCCATCTTGTCTCCTGTGCCCAATGCGCCCCTGCTCTGCGGACATGCCCCATCTGCAGATCCTGCATCCGGGGAACCGTGAGAACCTACAACTAGTGTGACGCCATCCCGAGAACTTGGGCTGCGTTCACATGAAAAATCTATTTTCTAAAATTCTAAAAATCTATTTGCGGTATCTAGTGATCACGGTCTGTGCCCTGAATACCCCACGGCGTAATTACGGGCAGCGCGAGCCAGTAACTTCCAAAGCTGTAATTAATTCTCGGCGCTGCCAGTAATTTCGCCGCGGGGTATTCAGGGCACAGACCGTGATCACAAGATACCGCAAATAGATTTTTAGATTTTTAGAAAATAGATTTTTCATGTGAACGCAGCCTTGGTCAACAAAGATGTCATTCACAACAGATGATCCTTGGGTCTACTGATCCGCAGATCAAATGTGGCGTACCTACGTGAAAGAAGAGGCTTCTAATCCACTGATGGTCTTCCCGCCTTCACCCGTGCCGTCCTTGCAGGGGTGTTGCAATTACACCTCGAGCGGAGTCGTGATTTAATCCAGTGGCGTGCGCGGAGGCAGGGAGACCATCAGTGAATAAGATGGCTCTTCTTTCATGTAGGGTACGCCATATTTAATCCTCGGATCAGTAGATCCAAGTGCCATCTGTTGTTAATGCCCTCAAAGGCTACTACTGTATCCAGCTAAGTGCATTTCACATATACTCAAAACTTTAAGGGCCCTTACCAAAATAACTAGGACAATTAATTTATAACAGCTAACATTAACTACTCGAGGCCTTTTCGATCTTAAATAAGTGTAAATCGACATTAGAATGAGGCAAAGCATTAATAAATTTTGTTTTCCACTTCATTTGAAAATTTGATCTTGATGAAAAATCTATTCAACCCTGAAACTGAGTTTAGACAGCTCTGGCAGTTGGCAGTCTGATTTTTAGTCTTTGTTCTAAGAATGTAGCCTAAAATAGAAGACAAGCGGCCTTTACGAGCGTTTGTGAAACACGACTTACAAGATACTTTAGATACCTAAAAAAAGTTAGGGGAAAAAGATTAAGATTTTCTGTCAAACTTGGGTCTGGGATGGTTTTATATAAGAGCTTTAGCCAGAAATGTTGCCTCAAATTTTAAACCCAAATGTTGTCTGTTTTGATTCATAGTAAACCAATAGTAGCTCAATTAAATAGATAAACTATTAGTCTGCATCATTGGCGATATATGTTTTTGTTTTAAAAGAAGCATAGTCGTTCTGTAATTGGACTACTATCGAAAAACCTTGTGTCAAAGCAAACTTCACTATGTTCTAAACTTTAGGGAAAATTAAGTTGAATTGGCTAAACATCCTCTGTGATCAGGTCCGGTGTAACCAAACTTAGGGTCTATGTTACAGAAAAGTCCGCGATCCATTTAGTTGTAATAGTTAGGGCCAGCCTGGGCCCCGTATCTTGAAAGCATCGCGTATTGCGATTAGCGATATTACATAGAGGCCACAGTGTATTATATGGGGCGAGTATGAGCGAGTTATGGAATCGAGACGCTTGCGCGATGCTTTCGAGATACGGGGCCCTGATCTACAAGTAGGTCAAAGGCGAGGCTTATATATATAATTACCTGTACAAATGAATGGGAAGCGATTTCTCTGTTTTGGGGGACTCTCTGTCACGTTAGACTAACCTACATATCGGAAACGTACGTCGTATCTGGACGGCAAATGTTGAATTCTGAAAGAAATAGCGTTTCGCTTCTTGTCCATTATTTATCTATACTAGAGACAATCCGTATCATCATATTGTATTTATTATAGCTAGGTGGGGCATCTATGGGCACGCTTTTTTAGACTATGTGCAGGAAAAAAAAAACGCGTCTAGCATGCAATTATTAAGTCGGAGAGCTATTTTGGTTTTAAACAACATACTGGCATCCGTGAGCATAGACTGTTTTACTATACTAACATTTTATGACGACCTTCTACTTTAGTGACAATGTAAACGTAAGACCTGTAATGTCTTATTTAGGTACAATTGAGATTCAAATATAAGGTCAGTTCTAGCTATGTAAGTTGTAACTGGTGCCGTTTTCTCTTGACAAAGTAGATCTTTTCATATTAATTGTTATCATTTTATATATAATTTATTAATATACTTATTATATTAGTATTATATTTTATAATCAATTAACATAAAATTATGCATCTGTCTATCAGCACATGTGAATTACACCTATTTTTTAATGCAAACATTAATAAAATCGAAAATGGCACTTTCGCCCAGAAGTCGCGGACGGGACGTCAGCTGTAAAATTAGCACCTTTTTTAAAGACAGATACTGTTAGTGTAATGTATTGTAATGTCAATGAATATTATACGACAAATGTGAAGTATTAAAACAAGTGTTGAATAAAACCTGGTTTTGGCTTACAGAGTAAAGGTATATACGTTTTACGCATGGTCCGAAGAACCATTCAAAATTTTCATTAAGCGTGCCACACTAGTGGCCAGAGTTATATCTGTGTGTCGCTTGAGTCTTTCTAACTGGATTTCTCTCATGCGCAATTTCCGTCGACTTGGATCTGCTCCATCCACTTGTCGATTCACTTCCATCTTTAAATTACTCATGGAAAAGCCGCCATTGCAAAGTCGCATTTGGCGGCGTCTAATTTTCTGCAGTTGTTCGCCCGGTCGCTTGAACTCTGGTTGTCCGCACTGCCTTTGATAAATGTTTTCCATTTTATACTCAGTTTTTAGAAGGCCTTTATACGCCTCCATCTTTTCTATGGTTCTCCGTATGCTGCCGATGGTTCTGTCGGTCACCGTTTCCTGATATTGTCGATGCTTTTCTATAAACTGGGTCGTTGCTTGGCATTTGGCGGCCTCTATGTCATTGAGTTTCTGCGCACGCCGCCTCGTGGCCAAACTCACATCAAGCATGGCGCTGTTGTTGGACCTCCAGTTGCCATGGTTACTGGTTTTGAAAGTGCCTTTGGAATGCGACATGGCGCCTAGTGAAGTGAGGTTCATCGCTGTTTGTCCTAGCTGTTTTGTTTGTAAAATAAAATGACGCTTCTAACGGTATACCTTCCTCGAACTGTGTTTTCTATTCACACTCCTCTGCAACTGTTGATTATTTACACTGTGATAGAATGACTCAACGATCAATGCTGTTTGTAATAATTTCCTTCTGGCATTGTGTATACTGGCCTACCCTTGAATAGATTCTTGAAAGTACATTTTGATTGAATTATCACAAACATTTTACCGAATTGTTTCATATATCTACTCTTGTTGTCTAGACGCCCCAATGCGCAAAAAACATCTACCTTTCGACTTTTGCTTTTGCTTGATTTTTAATCTTTATTGTCCTTCTCACTCTTGCTTCATCGTGTGTATACTATTTTAGTCATATATGTAACTCATTGAGTGTGTGCATCCGGGGATGGAAACGGCTGAGACTTCTGTGGTGGCAAAATCTGCGGTTAACTCAATGAACAAACCTGAAATATATCTTCCTCGTGTTGTTGGTTGTCGGTGAATAACGAAAGGAAATTACCTGGCAAATAAACCCAAGAAACTGGTGACAGGTCGTGAGTGTGTTTTCCAATAACCAAAACCGCCACTAGCCAATTTTGTCCCTGATCTTAGAATATGCGATGGCAATGCTTATTAAACTGAAAAACTGAAACACCTGTTCCGCCAGTCTCTGTGATATTTTGTTGACAGCTTGAGTTGCTTTTAAAATCACTGCTTGGTTTTCCTGTTTGTATAAGATCATACGATTTTTACGTTAGTGAACACGTTAGAAAACGCGTTCAAAAAACGAGCAAAATTGTTTCCTTAGCTGCGTTCATTCTTCGTCTGGTCGATGGTGTGTTTTATGAGTTAAAAATCACCCGTAACTCTCTGTTGGTAACACCACTTACACTTTTACCGGTGACATTATACACGTGTTAACTGTTTTTCCATCAAATTTCTCTCTTCTGCGGAGGGTACCATCAACAATTATCCGTGTTGCTGTTGTTTCCTACGCTTCGCGAGTCTGATGAAATTCTGAACTTGGTATTAGCTAGTAAACATACATTGTCTGGATAACGTTCAGAAATGAGAACAATCAATACCACGTTTGCATTACTTCAGTAAAACTGAGTCTCTATGTATACATTTGAAACTGCATCAATTGAAACGGGATCCGTTTCATTATGTCCTGCTTTGCGAAGCGTGCTGATTTTTAATGATCGCGTCCTTTATGCTTTCTCTTTGTGTTATTGATTGACAAAGCAAAAAACTGTAACCATGATTCTATTGTCTAGGCAGTGCGACATCTGACGCATACCCCGTAGATGTTTGCAGGGAATATCGACGCTAGCAGGTTTTTGCTGTAACTTTGCGTTGAATAATTTAAAGTCCAGTTTAGCTGCTGCTACCTGAGATGTAGTTTACTTTGGAAATGTACACAGGCACGAACACAAACACGCTATCTCTCTTTCTCACACACACACACACACACGCACGCACACAGACACACACACAGACACACACACAGACACACACACAAACACCACCCAAACCCAATACAGAGGTGCGTTTCACATGCTGAAGTGTCCAAAAATAAAACTGAATGATTTCAAATTTGTATTCAATTTTTAAACCATATATGTACGTGTATGTGCATGGAACAAAAACTCACGACTGTCTCAATTTGAATTCACAATGTAATTTTTACCATGCCTTTACTTAACGCAAAGAGCCCTAAATGATGACGCATGTTCTGGAAACGTATGGCGATGTATGTTCCGGGTCATTTAATTTTAATTTCATTCGCGTTCCGATATATTTTGTAGTGATTCAGTCACACGACTTACATGACGTAAGGGTGTTTTTTTTTTTTAATAAATACATATATTTAAATTGTAACTCAAGGGGCTTTGCATCGTGCCTAATAGTATGTAATGTATGTTCCCCAGAAAAATTGTCAAAAAGTTTCATTTTGTTAACGTACCTGATGCAATAGAAAACAGTGTTTTTTTTTTTTTTTTTTTTT